TCCTCCCCTCAGTATGTCTCTGATTGATAATTGTCTGTTTTTGCTTTGTTGTGTTTTACAGTGTTATTTTTTTTACACTCATGTCTTATTTGGTTCCCCTATATTCCTGTTATAAGTGACATTAACCAAAACAGAGAGACACCCCACTGATTGGGAAAAAATCTTTGCACTCCATTCAACTGATAAGGGACTGATTGCAAAGATTTAAGAAGAACTCACACGGCTCAACAAAAACAAAATAAACAATCCAGTCAAGAAATGGGCAGAAGAGGGCCTCCCCAGTGGCGCAGCAGTTGCGCACTGGGCTGCGTAGCTGCCCGCAGCCTCTGCAGCGCCTATTCGATCCCCGGCTGCCCGGTGAGGGTCCCACATGGCGCGCAGACCTCTCCTGCGGCCCGCTGCTCCTCTCAGCAGTGTACTTCGGTCCTTCTGCCTGTTCTGTGCCCCGCTCTGGCTCTGGTGAATTCTTTCACCCTCCTGCGCTTCTGACTGTACCCAGTGCTTGTATAAATAAATAAATAAATAAATCTAAAAGGAAATGCAAAAGGGCAACAGGCACATGAAAAAATGTTCAACATCCCTTATAATCAGGGGAATGCAAATCAAAACCACATTGAGATACCACCTTACACCAGGAAGAATGGCACATATCAAAAAAACAAGCAACAACAAATGCTGGAGAGGATGTGGTGAAAAAGGAATCCTCCTACATTGCTGGTGGGAATGCAAACTGGTCCAACCATTGTGGAAAGCTGTCTGGAGGTTCCTCAGTCTACTAAAAATGGAGCTACCATATGACCCAGCAATTCCACTCTTAGGGATCTACCCAAAGGACACAAAAACATTGATTCAAAAGAACACCTGTATACCTATGTTAATTGCAGCACTATTTACAATAGGTAAAACCTGGAAACAACCCAAATGCCCAAAAATAGATGACTGGATTAAGAAGATGTGGCATATAAACACAATGGAATATTATTCAACAATCAAAATAAACTCATGCCATTTGCAGCAACATGGATGGAGCTAGAAGAATTATTCTCAGTGAAATAAGCCAGAAGGAAAAAGAAAAATATCAGATGATTTCACTTCAAACTGCAATATTAATGACACTAAAAGCAGAGCTAAAGAAAGTCATAGACAAACCACAATTGTAGTTGGAGATTCAACACCCCTTTCTCCATTATAAAGCTAGTAGGTGGACTGTCAGCAAGGATCTAAAGGATCCTTGATATTTATGTTACTCTCCAAGCAGCAACAGCAGAATATACAGAATATACATCTTTTTTTTTAAAAAAAGATTTATTTTATTTATACAAGAGCCACGGTACAGGCTAGATGTGCGGGAGGGTGAGAGGATTCACCAGAGACAGAGCGGGGAACAGAACAGGCAGACTGATGAAATACACTGCTGAGGGGAGCAGCAGGCGAGACAGGAGAGGTCTGCTCGCCATGTGGGTTGCTCCAAGGCCGGCAGGGATCGTACTGGCACTACTGAGGCTGCGGACAGCTTCATAGCGCTGCGCTCAACCGCCTGCGCCACAGGGAGGCCGAGAATATACATTCTTTTCAAGTACACGTATTCTAAGATGGACTGTTCCCAAATTGCTCATTCATGTGGCAATTGTATGGGGACTATAACCAAGATGAAAATGCATACATTGTGCAAAAAATGAAAAATGATGTAAAAAATACATAAAATAAAATTTAAAAAAAGACAAAGAAGCCATTTATCAGTGGTAAGTTAGTTAAGTCATACTGAATTCAGAAGTCAAAGAAATGTGTCCAGAGAAAACACAACTAGCTTTTTGGGAAAAAAATTACTCAGAGAGTTGAGGACATTGTAAGCAACATCAATAGCCAATTGAAAAACAAACCAAATGATTTCAAGTGGTTTTCCTTGTTTTATTATAGGTCAACTGATAGTTCTGTTAGGTTGTTGTTTTTTTTCCACAAGGTGGCAAGGCCAGGTCTGAAGTCCCTAACATTTACTTCTATGAATGATCTATGTGGAACAATTATAATTAAGAATATATTTAAAGAAATTGGGAAAGCCCTACAGTGATGTACTGTTGTACGATGTTTCAGTCCACAACATATTGTGTATACCACAGTGGTTCACATAGACAGCCTGGGAGTATATTAGGCAAAACTATCTAAGTTTGTGTAAGCATACTCTGTGACGTTTGCACAATGATGAAATCTCCTAATGACAGACTGTTCCTTTCATTTAAGGAACAGATGACTATTACTCAGGATATCTTGAACTAGAATCTGCTACAACATGCTACAACTGATGGTGATAAAAGTGTAAGTGGAGAAGAAAAAGGCTTAGTTGGATAAATTTGCAAAGATTTTGGAAATGTGAAGTATTTAAAGACTTTATTATATTCATTGTATCACTCACCAGCAGGTTCTTGTGAGAAAAACTTTTGACCACTATGTGTTTTTTGAATTAGAAGTGTCAACAGTGAATGGTGAACATGGACTTGATTCTTTAGCCTCATGAATTTTCACCATAAATAGAAGGAAATCTTTGCCATACCCCCCAGTATTTCAGTGGTTCTAGCAGAGGTGAAATTTTATTGAATTTTCTTTTTTTTGGTTCAGGGTCAAGATGGAAATTTTTTCTGAATTAAGTCTTTCTTCATCCACTATTATTAGATGCTAAATGAGCTTGTTAAGAAACAGGTGATGTTTCTTAATGAATTTTGCCTAAAACATTTAGGCAAAACTGAGTCTATATACAAAACTTATACTGCAATAAAGTCATATGGATCACAAATACTGTTTGAGTCACAGATAATGTCAAGCTGTTTTATTCACTTTCTATGCTGCCATAAATTAAAACAAAAAGCAAGGTATCCATCCCACATAAATTTGCAAATAATATATTTTCCAAGCTCAGGTTACAGTCTCAGCAGTGTATGTTGAAACTCAGTGCAAGCACAAAGTCCCATATTGCAAAATCCATGCAATTATGTAGTTGAGAAGCTTCCACTTAACCTTCAATTGAGTCATCAATATATAATGTGATAACAAACTAAAAGGCAAATATCAAAGAAAGATTATAATAGAATTCTATAAAAGCCTCAAGTTATCTAAAATATCAATTAAAATCACATGCTCATGAAAGATATTAGTATTCAGCAGTACCTATTTGGATAAGACATTTTCTAGTCATGTAAGTACCTACGTAATATCCTCAACTTTGCCCCTTTGCCTGTAAAGCCTAAAAGATTTGCTATTTGGCCCTTTGCAGAAAAAAAAACAAAACGTACAGCTTCTGATCAGGAGAACTATGGGTGTCTGAAAGATACATGGAAACCTCATTAAATGTGACATTGAAAGATTACTTGCTAGGGAAAGTTTTGTTAGATACAAAGATTATTCTGATTTAGCAAAAATAAAGTCTCATCTGCAGTCATATCACTTTAATCAAAAATAGAATTGGACCTGAAGCTACATCTTTCTGCTACAAACCTAACAGGTGCAATTTAATTTCAGTAAACAGTGACATCTGTCTCATATCACTGTTGCCAGTTTGAATTTCTATTAGTTTTATAGTTTTGTTTGTATTACATTTGTACATCTTGCTATGGCTTCAGACATATGTAAGACTTACCCTCATAGTTTATATCTAATATTATATTTGCTCATATATATAACATTATTTTTTTTAATCTTAAGTTACAACTTTATATCAATTTTTTTTCTTAAAAGGATCCAATTAAATACTAGATTTGAGAAACACTGCCTTCAGTCAAACTTCCCCAGTATGTGAACATAGATGAGAACCCCTAAATCCTCCCAGATGTATTTTCATTTGTTGAAAAGGAACACTTTGAACACACATAAGTCTGTCTCTTCCTAAAGTGTTAAAAATTAAATGAAATATTTCTTACCAAGTGGGCATAGAAAGAAGAGTGTACAGAAGAGGTTACATTAGGCAGATGACTTAACAAAAAGTTTGATATAACCTCTTCAAATGCACAAATTCTTAGAAGTAACGTGCACAGAATCACCTGGAAAACTTATTTAACATGCAGATTCCCCAACTTTTCTCCAAAAGACTCTACTCAGTAGTTCTAGGATGACTTCTAGTAATACTCACTTCTAATAAACATCTCAGAATATTCTGATCTGATGACACATGTCTGATGACATGTGAACTGCCATATTTTGCCTTAATCGTTCCTGATTTTCAAGGCCTTGTTCTCTCTTTCACTTTAGGACCCAAAAGATCTTTCTTCAATCTTCAGGGTTATTTTTTCTACAAGAACGCCCTACCATAGAGGTGTGATATGAAGAAAAGACTGATCCTACCTTGATATTTTATTGTTATTTTAAGTCCTAAACTAGTTTGCAGAACAAACAGTAAATTGAATTTAACAGTGCCTTGAGATATCTGGATTGTAACTAATAGAAGTAAATCAGATTTAAAGATTTAACTCCCAGTAATGAAACTTTCTGTTGAGAAAATGTGACCAAGACTCATTCTCATCAACCTGCTTATCTTTTTATGGACTTAAATAACATAAATAATTTCAATTTGAGTGTTTTTCTGAAATTTCCACTGAAGGTTCAAACATACAAGAAAAAGCACTTGCTTCATTGCCTATAAAACAGATGAATGCCTTCGTTTTTAGATAAAAATCTTTAGTCAAGCACATCTTTAATGGGCACGTACGTTACCTACATTAGTGTAGAGTCTGTTCTGCTGAAATAGAAGTCTCAGTTTTAAAAGCACTAAAAAACTGGTGACTCTAAAAACTTAAAATAACCAAGCCACCTAAAATTCAGGCCACTTCCCAGTATGCTAGTTTTGCTGAGGAAACCAGAGTATTAACATATGATTTTAAACAAATATCTTTGTACATGTTATCTTCTAGCATGTACTATCTTCCATGAAAAAACAATATATTTATTAGAAATGAAGGATTTTACTTAGAAAGGAAAAAAAAATTAGTATTGGAAAAATACAGGTCAAGGCTTACCTGATAGTGAAAAGCTCCAGGGCAGTGAATTTCGTCTCAGCTCAAGTCCTGTGTTGATGTGACCAGAGGAGGCCGGGGTTCACTGCCCGGTCTCCTCACCCGTGAACCTAGAATAACAACACACCCTCTTTTATGAAGGAATGATGAAGTATAGAGAACAAAATGATGGCAGCATTTTCCCAATTTAAAATACATAAGCATAACCTCATTGTTTCTGGTAGTTCCCACACAGTCTTCAATAACTCTTTGCCATTATAACTTTTAATAGCTTGCTTAGTCTCAATTTCAATGGTTTCTCTTCAAATCTGTAGATTCCCTAGTTTTATCTCCTAGCTATAGTCTCTGTGGGTGAAACCAACCCCTCCCACTAAACTTTCTGACAAACATCACTCCTGAACCCCAGATCTGCCTTCCTAGCAACATCTGGCCTTCCCCACACAGGACTCACCGCCATGCCTCTGGCCACGATGCCTCTGGACAAGCCTGCCAGTCAGCCAGCGATCAGTGGGGTGGCCACAGTGGCGCTTGCACAGGATGGAGGGCACTTCTCTCCCTGACTCCCACCCATTCCTCCCAGGCCAGCCCTGCACACATTGTAATAATGCCCCTTGTGTGTCATACTTATGTCATCACCCTCCTTGGGGCATATGTCACCTCCTAACTTCCTTGAGATTCCTACTCATCCGTACATAATGCAATTCAATAAATGAAACCCCAGTAGTTATTAATCGTTGGGCTTGCCATTCCTCAATGGTTTGGATTGTAAGTTTGGGTTGAAGAGAGGAAAAAGAATGCAACTTTGTGAATCCTATAGTGTTCTGACGACTTTGATCTCCATCTTGAAGCATCGATTTCACAGACACTTAATATTCAACTCCACAAGATTTTTTCTACCTAAATGGATTTCCCATGTCCTTAATCAACAAAAATTTCACCACCAAACAAAAACCATTGACAAAAAACTTTGGTTTATCTTAGCATTTGTCCTTATTTCATCATAATGCATATTTGGAAAGGCCTTTGTAGGTGATTCATGATTGTGTATTAATGTACCACTAATGAGACACTGGGGATGGATCCATTCCATATAATGAAATTTCTGGATAAGTCAGTGGTGCAGCGAGTTGAGCGCAGTGCTGTGAAGCTGTCCGCAGCCTCTGCAGTACGGGTTCGATTCCCAGCTGGCCAGGGAGATTCCCACATGGCATGGCAGACCTCTCCTGTCGCGCCCACTGCTCCCCTTAACAGTGTATTTCAGTCATCTACCTGTTCTGCTCCCTGCTTGGTCTCTGGTGAATCCTCTCACCCTCCCGTGCCTCTGGCCTGTACCCCAGCTCTTATATAAAAATAAATAAATCTTCTAAAAAAATTAATAAAAATAAAAAATCATTTAAATACATTTTTAAAAAAATAAGTGAAAATATATACTTAAAGATCAGTCCCAGGCCTCCCTGGTGGCACAAGAGGTTAAGGCACAACCTATGAAGCAATCCGCAGACACTGCAGCACGAGCTCAATCCCTGGCCAGGGAGCTACCCACATGGCGCAGCAGACCTCTCCTGACTTGCCCGCTGTTCCCCTCAGCAGTGTACTTCTGTCAATCTGCCTGTTCTGTTCCCTACTCTGTCTCTGGTGAATCCTCTCACTCCCCACACCTCTGGCCTGTACCCCAGTTCTTGTATGCATGCATAAATAAATCTTTAAAAAAAATTAGTCCTTTGAAAAATCTCACCATTGTATTATTTGAAATAATAAAATCAAATATTTCAGTACTTAACATCATTGACATAAAAGATGTCTTTCTAAAATATACAGAAGCCTGACCTTTCATACAATGGAAACATAATTTAACTTTCTCATTAGATCTTCAGATCATTGTTAAGAGTATTCATTATTGACTATTGTAGTAATCCTGTGGTTAGTTCTTTCAATTCTTGTCACCCAACATTAGATTGCTAGATGATAATTCATGTTATTATTTTAACTGCTGAGCCCTTCTAAATTAGGCTTCTAATTTCCTCCAAACCAGCAAACCAAACATAAAGAAACTTCCAGGCCTCCCTGATGGCTCAAGGGGTAAAGATGCAACCTATGAAGCTGTCTGCAGCCTTTGCTGCATGAGTTCGACACCACCCCCTCCAGCAGGCCAGGCAGCTACCCACATGGCACAGCAGACCTCTCCTGACTTGCCCACTGGTCCCCTCTGCAGTATATTTCGGTCCATTTGCCTGTTCTGTTCCCCACTCTGTCTCTGGTGAATCCTCTCACCCCGCCCCCCACACCTTTGGCCTGTATCCCAGTTCTTGTATGCATAGATAAATAAATCTCTAAAAAAAAAGTTAGAAACTTCCTTGTCCACTGCTGGTGGGAATGTAAAATGGTGTAGTTGCTATGGACATTTCACTTGTTACAAACCCAAAAGAACTGAAAGTAGAAACAACTCAAGTTTCCATCATGAATAAACCTTGAGGGCATTATGCAAAGTAAAATAAAACAGTCACACAAAGACAACTACTATATTGTACCACTATTATGAGTTATAACAGTCAAATCAGAGAGACTGGAGATGGTGGATTTAGGGAGAGGCATAAATGGAGAAATATTAATTGGCACAGATATTTCCATTTTGTAAGATGAAACTGGAGATTGGTTGTATAACAGTGTGAATGTAGTGGGCACTATTCCAGTGTGTACTTAGAAATGGCTAAAATGGTAAATTTTATTACAAGTATTTTACCAGAAAAATAAATTTTAAAAGAGAAACATGCATTTATTCATTGAATAAATATTTTGTTTGTTCCTATTATATGTCAGGCCCTGTTCCTGGTACTAGGATAAGGTTCTTGGGCCTTCATGGAGCTCACATCTGCGTGTATAGCATGTATTCCTCTGCAGTCCACCTAACAAAGTATGCAAAGTTAGGACATCGTATTTGAGAAAATAAATTATTTACCTAGACTATCTAAACCTGACTTAATCAGATAAAGAACATATCTGAAGTTCGAATATCTTAATTCTAAAAATTATTAAATAGATAATGGTTCAAATGAAAAAATTGACATCTCTAACATCTTTGTGGTATATTTGAAACAGATGCAAAACTAGGGGACCTGGGGTGACCTGGCCAGTGGGTCCACACTTGCACACTTAAGAATGCAGGACAAAACCCAAAATAAGACACATAGTGAGAAACAATAACAAGATTTGCTTACACAGAAAAAGCTGGAGAGGAGGGGAGGGGAGGGGAGGAGAGAGGAGAGAAGCGGAGAACAGGGGAGGGGAGAGCAGGGGAGAGACAGAGAGAGAGAGAGAGAGAAAACCTGCTGGCTGGCACGTGGCCAAATGTCCTCTGTCCTACCTCAGTAGTGTCTGCAGGGCAGAGACTGAGGTGGAAGCTGAAAACACAAATGGTAAGCTGTTGTCTTCTCCACAGACACCCCTGCTTGCCAGAAGTTTAGTTACCAAAGAGGCAGCGGTTCAATTGTCAAAAGCCCCAACAGCTAAACTATCAAAACCCCAGTCATTTTCAAAAGCCTCAGGAACTTTTTTTTTATTATTTAAATTTTATTTTTATATTCCCCATACAATTACAACCCCCTTATTTTGACCCCAATCCCTCCTTTCTCCGCCCCCCCCATAGTGTGTCTCTGATTCATAGTTGTTTATTGATTTTGATATTTTCTTTCTTATAGTTATTCTTTTTCCTGGTCCCTTATTTAGGTTTTCTAGATTCCTGCTATGAGTGAGACCATCCGGTATTTTTCTTTTTCTTTCTGGCTTACTTCGCTGAGCATGATCCCTTCCAGCTCCATCCATGTTGCTGCAAATTGCATGTGTTTATCTTTTTTGAATGCTGAGTAATATTCCATGGTCAGAAACTTAACTGCCTCATGCTCAAGCAGCATAACTGCCAAAAGCCCCAGATCTAACCCTTTTTCACCTGAGCTGCCTTTAGGTGCTCCACCTACTACCATCCCTTTGACTATGAGAGGCATCCTCTGGCTTAGAGGTTGTTTCTCACTGTTCCTATTACAATTTCCCCACTTTAAATTTTTGGCGTCATTGCTATGGTGAAGAAAGCAGGATGCTGTGCTGCAGTCTCAGTGGACAGTTTTCACCAGGGTTGCACTGTATTCAAAGTAAACAACAGCTGTTTTTGAGGCATCATCCATGTGTCGCCAGTGTGGAAAATCCTCCATTTCTAGAAAATAGTCAATCAGCACAAGCCAAAAAGGAAATAAATCTCAAAAATGTTTGAGAGGATTACTCATTTTCTCTTCACTTTTACCCCAATTCTGTCTAATAGTATAGCAAAAATGTATTTGTACACTAAACCTAATTCCAATATATTTGATTTATTTTTGCACAAACTCATAGGAGTGAATAACCAAGTGGAATTTCTGTTGGCTTTGTTAGAACTTTCTGTAAAAGCTCTTATACAACATTTGACCTATGCAGACCTCAGGAGCCACATCACAGGACAGTCTCATCAGACTTTTGGGTAGATCCCCTTTTCTCAAGGTTCCCAAGATTTTGATCCCTGGTGTGTGGGTGGGTGGGTGAGGAGGAAGAAAATTGTGGGGGCAGGGGTAGGGACAATTCATAGAGCACAACTGAATTTTGCATATTGATTTTGTACCTTTAGCTTTCTCTGCCACTTTACTGCATTTATTTTTTATTTCAATAATTTTTAGTGGAATCTGTGGTTTTCTATGAATGTTATTGTATAATCTACAAATGGTGATAGTTTTAATTCTTCTTTTCCAATTTGCATTCCTTTTGTATCTTTCTCTTGCCTAAATGCTCTAACTGGGACTTACATTACATGATGAATAGTACTGGTGAGCGCTGACATCCTTGTCTTGTACTGGATCTTAGTGGAAAGGCTTTCAGTTTTTCTCCATTGAGAATGATGCTAGCTGGGCCTCCCCTGGTGGCACAGCGCTTGAGCGCTGGGTTGCGAACTGCCTGCAGCCTCTGCAGCGCCGGTTCGATTCCCGGCTGCCCGGCGAGGGTACCACACGGTGCACAGACCTCTCCTGCAGCCCGCTGCTCCCCTCAGCAGTGTACTTTGGTCCTTCTGCCTACTCTGCTCCCTGCTCTGGCTCTGGTGAGTTCTCTTACCCTCCCCCGCTTCTGACTGTACCCAGCGCTTGTATAAATAAATAAATAAAAATTAAAAAAAAAGAGAATGATGCTAGCTGTGGGTTTGTCATATATGGCCTTTATTATGTTTAGTTTTTGAGGGTTTTTATCTTATACGCATATTGAATCTTGTCAAATGTTTTCTCTGCAAATATTAATATATGATTTTTTTCTTTTCTTTTGTTGAAGTGGTGAATTACGTTGATTGATTTTCAGATGGTGGATCACCCTTGTATACTGCCCCTGCAATATATCCAGCTTGGTAATGATGTATAATTTTTTTTGATGTATTGTTGAATTCGGTTTGATAAGATTTTCTTGGGAATTTTTACATCTATGTTTATTAGGGAAATTGGTATGTAACTTTCTTCTCTTGTGATACCATTGTCAGGTATTGAATCAGTGATCGTTGTCTTCATGGAATGTATTTCAAAGTAT